CCCGCCCCGCCCCGCCCCGCCCCGCCCCGCCGACGCGCGCACCCGACGCGAGTTGGGCGGCTAGACACCTTTTCCCTCTCAATTCCCTCGCGCCTCGCCCGCCGAACACTTCACACGGCTCCCCTGTCGCGCGTTCAGTCATTCAGTCCCCGGCATCGGCCCGCGAGTGACACGCGCCCTCTCCCACCTTCTCCCTCTCTGTCTCTCCCTCCCTCTCTCTTCCCCGCAAGCGTGCGCCCCCCTCGGCAACCCACCGCGCATCATCGCTCCAGCAACCGGGAAGGCGAACAACTGGATAAGTTCCAAAGTGCCAACGGGAGGAAGACAGCGACCTGCTGGACGCAAAGCGCGCTCCGCAGCAAGGAGAAGCAGTGGCCGGAGCAGCAGACGACGCGGGCAGCGCGCTCTCACGGCGGGGCGTCTCCAGCGGCGGCGTGCCGGCTCGACTCCGCCGGCCGAACCGAACCGACCCGCGCGGGCAGTCGGACTCGGACTGGGAAGGGAGCGAGCGCGTCGCTCACGAGCCCTTTCAGCCATCCGTGTCGTGTTGGTGCTCGGTGGCGGTCGTCGCGGTCGTCAAGCACACCGAGTGCCTCTACGACGCACGCGAACGCGCGCGCGCGTGTGTGTGTGTGTTTGCGTGTGGTGTCAATGTGCGCGCCTGCTCGCGACCAAGTCGAGTAGTGCAACAAGTGGTGAAGTTACTGTGTGAAACTGGCCCCATTCTTCGGGCATCCAAGAGACCGTCACCTGCTCCCCTTCGTCGCCCCCAACTGACCGAGGTGAGTGAGCGTGTTGTCATTGTCAGCTGTTGGCAGCTTCGACTTGGGGCCCGTGTAGACGTTTATCTAGGTGCGCCTCTCTTGTCCTACATATAATAAGTGTGACACGCAAAGGCAGGTATAGTTAGATCAACAATGTACCCGAGGCTGTCAAACGAGATTTCGTTAAAATCGACCAAATCGTTGATTTTTACATATGACTGTAAAGCATTATTTTGCACAATGTATAGTTTTGTAAATCGTTGGATTTGTTTACACTTTGACGCCGGTCGCCTTTTCGGCTATATTTAGGCCGGGAGGTTGTAAGTGCCGCCACCGCATCTTTGACGCTATTAGATCATTTGTCCGGTGGAGAGGGGGGAGGGGGGGGGAAGGTCCAGCACTTCTACAGGGTCATTGTTGATTCAAGACGGAGCGGTCGCGGCGATGCGGGTTGCACCCTCCCCCTCCCCTCTCCGCTCCCCTGGCCCCTCCCGCTGGAAGTGCCCAATAGAGGACATATCGAAGTTGACAGTGGCGCATTAATGTCATCAGTGATGTTAGAGAGAGAGTGGGGGAGAGAGATGAAGAGAAAGGGGCAGGGCGGGGAGGGGGGGGCGTACCACCCCTCCCCCCATCGCCTTATCGCTTGAGGTGCCGAGGTTTGATAGTGCAAACGACTGATTATCCAGGACTTCATGGGCGTCGCCGCATCCGCGCCGCGCCTTCCTTGTACAGTAAAAGTAATGATTATATTACCCGTTTCGTATATCAGAAAGCAAGTTGTGCGTCGTATAAATACATTTAGAATATTTGAATCATACGTCCGTTCTCCTCGGCGGTTTACGCGTTGCGAACGTGGTCCGCGGCGAGGCGACTCAGTCGTCATTTGTTTTCGGGTCGTTGCGCACTTACTTACCTCCCAAGTACTTACCGTTCGGCGTCCGACCGACCGGCCGGTCTGTCTGTTTGTGCAGTGTTTGTGTGGGGCGGGAGGGGCTCACGCTTTGAAAGTGCGCAGGTGGATTTTAGGCGCTGCTCTTCATAGTAAAACTGGATGGCACCTGTTTCCTCTTTGACAAGGCTTTCCAATTTTCCCAAATAATTCGGTCACCCCACTCTCTTTAATCTGTTTAAAATGAAAGTCGAACTTTTTTCGAAAATAGTCCTTTAAATAACATGGAAAATGTGGTTACATATGTTTTAATTCGTTTAAATATAACTGAACTACTTCCCTATTTTTTAAATATTTCTTTGTAGTTTTAAAATGATTTTTAAAATTTGCAAATTTAGTGTTTATGTAAAATGTCTTTGTAATTCTTTTCCGGATGGGTTCCCTTTCTAAGGCGGTACGTTTAGAAATGTTTTAACGGACTTTTTGTGGCAGTGCATGTTGCACCTGCGGGTGTTACTACTACTTATTCGAAGCGTTCGTATCTCAACCCGACTGCTTCCTCGCTGCCCCCGCAGGCTTCGCCGTCATGAACAACACCGTGTCCACGGACCTGAACGCGCTGGCGTCGGACGACCCGGACTGGGGCTCCAAGACGTCGCTCAACGACGGCAGCATGGAGCTGATGCTGCCGGACGGCAGCGACGAGGCGGACCAGCGCTCCGTCACCAAGATGATCCCGTCGGAGGGCAAGCAGGGCGGCCGGCACGACACGCTGCCCTTCGTCAAGCAGTGGAGCTACGCGATGCACCGCATCCCCACGACCCGGGAGGCGTCCAGGATCACGCTCAAGGCCAAGGCGCGCTTCCAGCAGGACCTCGGGCTGCGCGGCTACCGCGCCCTCGACTGCAAGCGGAAGGCGGGTGAGTGACCAGTGTGACCACAGTGTGACCACAGTGTGACCACAGTGTGACCACAGTGTGACCACAGGGCGGGGACACACCGAACCGTGTCAGATTCCAACCCCTCCCTCCTTTCGTTTTAAAATAAATGCGTTCATTTTGTTTAAATATTGCATGCAACCTACTACTCGCGCATCAATTTTATCAATTGCTTTAAATTCATGACCGTTTTTTGAACATTGTTGGAATGTGACACGCTCCAGTGGTGTGCCAGTACCCGTGCGTACCGCTCGCGCCGTGCTGAGCGTGGACGGTTAGCCGACCGATGACCAATTCCTTAACTAGATGTAGCGCTTCTCGTGACGCGACTGATGCCCGCGTGGCGCCGCTGATTGCATTTTCCTGCGCGGGGTATCGCCGCTGCTGATAGGGTCTGGGACTACCCCGCTCCTCTTTCTGATTCTCAATATCGACCAATATCGGTCCCGG